TGTCTACGCTAACTCATCATATTGTAACGATTGTGAATATATGATAGAGAACATATTTAGGCCGGAGATAAAACGGTATGTTTAACATGAATTAGAGAGATAAGTTGCACAAGAATGACCACGCCTGCGAGGCCGAGTCATGTCATCTGATAAATTGAATTTATTACTGCTTCTGCATTCGCCATTGTTGGCCTTCTCTCCGCGTCAAATGTTGAATATATATTTTTCCAGTTATCACGTGCTCAGTTTCGAGGATTGCATGGTTAGGGTCCAATGCCACTACATACTCTCCTCGAGGGTCTCGACAACTGGTCCACATTTCGCAGTTTGTTTCAGATATAGAATTCATTTCTGGAGCAAACAATGTTGTGATAGACTTTGTCTGGTATAACTGTTTCCAAGGAAACGACCTTCTTAAACTAGCTCAGCTTCAAAAAGTAGACGCTGGTGTTCGGCACGAATGATCTTCGACAACCCTAAAACTCCGTATTCAACAGATAGGAACAGGTGAGGAGACCTTATTATGAGACACATTTACATGAAGGGATCATCCACTCGTGTCGAAATATTATCACAGCAAAATTTCTCGGTACATTGCACGGGCTTCTTCATGCTGGTGTTCAAACAACCATCAAGCCCATAGCGGAACGACTTTGCCGGTCTGGTATGGATAGGGACGCGAGGAAGTGGGCACGCGTCCGTATAGGCTGTCAGAAATATAAGGTTATTGGATACAAAAGTTTTCATTAGGCTGTTTTATAACTCATTATGCTCGTTTCCCCCGTGTTCATCTGGATTTGGTGGGAACCTCATCAGATTCAAGTGGATGCTCCTGTCTCGTAACTTGTGTAGACTGTCTCACTCGATGGCCAGAAGCAGTCGTTACGGAGAACTGAAGACACTTGGCCGATTAAAAACTTTATATTAATATTATTAATTTTACTGTGTTTTTGGACGTATTTGCTTTGCTTAACTTCTGGACTTGTTTGTTTATATCATTATTTTCTGACATTTCGGTTTCCTTTGTCTTTGGTTTGGTATTTGGAAGATTTTGTTCAGGAACCTACAAAATTGAAGAACGACATTAGGGTCGACTATTTGTAGATTGCGAATAAACTTTGGTACCTAATTTGGATTTGAGTTCTATTGTTAATTTGGGTTCATAAATTGCAAATAGATCGATATACCGTACTTCAATAACGGGAAGGAGAGAAAAGTTGGACGTAACAGCAGTACCCACCAAACGCTTTACTGCTGAAAAAGTGGCCTTTGCCTTGGTCGGACTGTGGGTAGCAAACTTTGACTGCCCTCCAACTATCGCTTCAGACCTTGAGTGCCCGTTAGAATCCGGAGTTTTTCGTTATCTGACTACACTATTAGGAGTCACACGATTCCGAACGAACCGGCTGATAGGACGCTTTCATCGACAGCTGAATGCTTCCCTATCAGCTGCAAACGTTTCACACTGGACCGACGCTCCACCACTCCTCTTACTTGGCTTTCGCAATGTAGTGAAAGCTGACATTGGATACACCGTAGCTTAACGCGTTTATGGAACAACGCTCCGACTTCCAGGAGAATACGTGTATCCTTCATCTTATTCAATGAATATGGATCTATACTCCTACATGAGTAGACTTATGTTTTGACTCATCCTGTACTACGATATAGTACACACGTCTTTGTACGTCGCGACTCATTTCGACGACCTCTCAAAACGGCATACGAAGAACCATTCACAGTTGCTCGGTATGAACCTAAGTACTATGTAATCGATAATAACGTAACTACCGACAGCATCATCATCGATCACCTCAAAGTCGAGTATTTAAAAGGAAACCGAATATACATCTATTTTCCTTCGGTACAATCTAAAGACACGAGTCTCACAAATAGGATACACTGTTCGGTAATCAACAATCACGATGACTCATCTGTGACATCATACAGCAGACTCAAAACAACGCGTTTTGGAAGAAGAGTAAGATTTCTAGAACCCTTAAACGACAACTGCACGTAAGACACTACATAACACCTTTCTCGTCTAGATTATTTTTGTATTGTATCAAGAGTAAAAACCAAAAAAATCGTTCTGCTAAAATCCTTTTTATTGTATTTCACGTTTACGAAATGCATGTATGTGAGTTTATTTTCCTTAATCCGTTTATTGTCTTTACACACGTTCAAGTATAATTCGACATGTAATCACATATCCTTTATTCTTCTCCAGGATGGCTTAAAAAAGTGAAAAAACAAGTTAAGGATCGATAGAAATTTCTATTGTATATGCTTCCCATTACTATATTGTACCACATAGCCACTTATAATAAGAAAAGACGACCAGACGCTGCTGAACTTAGAAAAAGAGTGATTGCCAACGACAACGTCGTTGCGTTTAAACTTCTGGTTGGCCACGTCTTAGGGTCATCACTATCCCACTGGGGACGCAATGATCTGTGGAAAACAAATCTTCAAAACCAATAGCTCTGTAAATCTGTAACAGCTTAGATTGATTGACCAAGAGTCGACCTCAAGCAACTAAGCATATGTCAAAACAGCATCTATTCACTTTATTTTGTATAGGCATTATATTTCCAATTATCTTATATTGAAGGTCGAGAGGTTTTGTTTGTCTGAGAAAGGAATCCCGTGATCCACTGTGACTGCGCGAAGATAAAAATAAAGACCTATTCCCTGCTAGTCTGGTTTATTCTACTAATAACACGAGCGTTACCAAGAATCATCGACATTTGATGCTAACCGCATTAGTTCTAATGGGCCCACCTAGCTGAAGGCTTTCGGTCATGCATACACACCAGATCACGAGTGGGTGCGCCGTGCTCCACTTCTCCCACAACCGCTAGACAGCAAAGATCGGTCACTTCTCGATATATTGATATTCTGTCAAACATACCTTTGAACCTCTTGGCTTCTGAGCTCACTGTGTTGGCACGTTTCGACCATAGAATGTGTTACTAGTTAAAACGTTGTGAGACTCCGAATACTTGTGACCCTTTTGAAGGTGTTGTCGAAATCTGAATACCTGTGTAATCTCTCAGTAGCTAATAACTCCCCTTTTTATCGAGAAACGGCATCTATGGAATGAAAAATCCTCTATTTCTTCTTAATATGGCTTGAGGTTCGTACCTGATGCGATAGAATACGTATCCGTGAATTTGTTAGGCATCGGTTTCAGTCAACAATTTATGCGATAGTAAGCATTTTATGATACTTCTCATTAAATTCAGTGGATAAATGATGATTATCAGTTGATCTTTGGAACCGAGGATTTCGTTATAGTCCTTAATTCTATGTGATTTGATGTTTCTACCCTTGAATTTAGAGTGCTCTGCAGAACGGACTGTAAACACAACTTCCAACCATCAAGGGCAATCAAATGCTGGAATTTTCTGCCAGCTGAGATAGTCCAAGAGATTATCCAGGAGGCTTTTTAAGAGAAAAATTTACACCTTCTTAAGGATTAAGGATAGTATCTTTCTATGATTTACCAAATTCTTTGTCCTCTTTTATTGTTAATATACCTAGGTTCCTGCCTGAAGGTATTGGTGATCGACTGCTACTAGACACGGAAACTTGTTAAGCGAAAGTTTCTTGTTTTCTGTACACAACCATTTGAACCATCTTGAATTGTCACGTTTTTAGATAGACGTAAATAGACTTTAAAAGATTGAAATCAGATCCCCGGAAAAAACCATGTTTCTGCATGCAGCTCTGATTGGATGAACAGAAGAATGCTTAAAAATCCAAGATATAGTACTTTATTGGCGAATGGCAAAAGGATGGTCAACCTTACATGTACTATAGTAGGCGCGAGTTCGAGTTGTGAACTTCGTGACAAGTTTGAAATCGTGTATTCATTTTGCCTGCTTTGAACATCTAGTTGTCTTGATCTCACTCACGTATTATTAATAATTGCTATCGATTGATCTCTTTTTAATAAATGCTGGAAAACTTGATGTATATACTGAGTCGTTGATTTATGTTTTCGCTTCTATCCTTAAGGAATAATTAATATCAATTAAACTATTCGGTGTTAATTTTGAAGGAAAGTAGATATTTCACGGGAGGTAGAAGTTTTAATTTCGAGGCGTTGACTTTCACTGGGGAGATCTTGTAGAAAATGCCCAGTTTTTCCCGAGATGGGAAAAATGGCGGTATTTTGATGCGGATTTTCCTAAATTTCGCCATTACTTCAACTCAAACATTTGCTTAATTAACAAGTTTTGCCGAATTAGTTTTCTGAATTAATATATATTTTTCGAAATTTTGTCGGGTTTAAGATGATAAATTTAGTGTGTATTTAAGCACATGCTTGCACTAGTCCGATGACTTTGGCCGAATCTTAAGCTGATTTTACGAAAAATATCTCTGACTTTCCGGAAGTCCCTAATATTTGACGAGGACAAACTCTTCCTTGTTTATAGGAGACTTCCAGAGTGTATAACACTTTCCACACTTGATTTAGACAGTACTCTAACACTCGCAAACAAATAAACGCTTCTGAATACGAGAAACGGGCAATAGAAACTGAGTATTTCATAAAACTAGTGGAGGTAGTCTTCAAAGTAATTACAGTCCTTAACTTTATCATTATATACCGCTGCTGTCAGAAGATTAACGTAGTGCGACTTACATTATATATGCTATCAAATTTGGCGTACTCACACCCAAGAGCATTCCTATTTTGTATTTATAGGAAGCAGATGAGAAACGACATATGATAATTTATTGGTTCGCATTCATTAGGATAACTAGATAAATCATTAACGATGGACATTATTTTGGTTCTGATCTTTATTTCAGTCTAAATGCTAAAAGCATGTCGCAACATGTAGGTGCGAAATGCAAATCTCAAGTGTAGTAATATATATATATATATATATATATATATATATATATATATATATATATATATGAAATAATCATTTCCTATTGCTTATTCCTCGTATTCAGAAGCGTTTATTTGTTTGCGAGTGTTAGAGTACTGTCTAAATCAAGTGTGGAAAGTGTTATACACTCTGGAAGTCTACTGTAAACAAGAAATGTAGTTTTTTGACTAATTAGTGGGATAGCACATCTTCCAATTGGCGATTTTATGATAAACAAGGTTCCAGTTGTTGTTACTTCTCTCTTACTGTCAGTGTGAAATATGGCAACGTTTATTGTCATATCTTGACGCTATTCACTGACGACCACGTGGATTTCATTAGTTTGTGATTATAGATAGATGCCGATATAGGAAGACTTCTAATAGCTTAATGTCAATACAATACTTTTAGAGACAGAATATTGTTAAAAAGTATTCAGCGAATTATGCTATTTGAATGAGGTTATTAGTATGACAAACAAGATTAAGATATTAGCAACCTACAATATCCACACCTTCAAATCACTCGTCTGTCAATTACTTTTTAAGGATATCTACTTGTGTTAAATATCTTGTAATTTGGAATGTAATTTTATCACATGAAAAAGCCATTTTGAAGTGGTAGTAATGTATGTAGACAGTCTTAAACTATTTTTCAGCTAGCGAAGTAGTCCCTGTAAAACATTTTGTAATAAAAAGAAATGAAACTACAGTCAATATGAATAATGAACCTTTGTAAATGAATTATTTGGGATTTCTTCATCTGTAATGCAATAATTCTTTGTAGCTATTCAAATGGAATGTATTTCTCTCCAAAAATCGGATTGATTCGTCCATATGCTTTGTTTCTGCCCACCTTACTGATCGTGTTTTCGCAATCGAAATTCGGTTAAGTGGACAAATCAACCGACCATTCCCTATTATTGTGGACAACCTACAGACTAACATTCTATCCATCAATTTGACAAACCAAGATTTTCCAATCAAATCCTTAAATTACCCGTTAGTACTCTTGGTAAAAACTCTACCTTACCGATAACCTTGGGTGGCTCTAAATACAATTTTGCGTTATCAGTCACTTAGAATTCAAAATACATAACTGAAAAATTAATTACGGGAGCCAAAAGTGCGTTGCATACTGGTGTCCAATGGTCCCTGTATTGTGGGACGGATATTCTGACGTTTCGTGACTTAGTGTCAGAAAATCTAATTTTTCTAATCATCGGGATATTACAAATATGGGACGGATATTTTCACGGACCAATGACTTGTCTGGTCTCAAGGACTTCACTTTCCTTAATACCATCACTGGGTTCGCGCAGATATACCACACAAAGCAAAGGATATATACATTTTACAGATTCTTATACGTCACGTTTCGTGTTGTAAATTTGACTTGGAAATACTTTACTTTTAATTTCAATAACTTTTCCTTGTTTATTATGGTAATACAATTCTGTGCTTATGAGTACGTAACTTACACTTAATAAAGGTAAATAATGTTTTCTTGTTATTATGTTTATAGGTGAAACTTTTAATTAAGTGGAAGGTGGATGAAAACGGAAAACTTTCTTTAATTATCCATATTTAACATCTTATAGACATAGCATGTTGCACATTGTTCTTATATGGCTATCATTTCGTGATTATATTCACTGTTTACCTGAACATAAATTAAAGATACCTAATAGCGAAAATGTACCGGATCCTTGTAATCCAGGCAAATTTGTAAAGTCCATTGGTCACTTGAATTATGATGGTGGTGGACCTCTTAATTCGTTCGGTTCAGATTTCGAAAGTAAACGGGTAAACTATTTGGGTTTTTTGTTTATTCGTCTTAATTAACTTCAGTAGATTTCATTTTCTTTAAATACCATCTTTTTAAATTTTAATGATGTACATAGTACTAGTTACAAAACTTTTCTGGATTACTTTGTGAAAGATTGGAATTTAGTTGTTTTTAGGGTTGACAAGAATATAAACTTCTCGAATTGTCGAATAAAATTTTTTTCTTAGTAAGTGAATTTCAATCTTAGAATATCGCCATATTTTTCTTAACAAGTTGAGACGTCTAGTATAACTGTGAGTAATCAAGTACAATTCTGTGTACTTCACCTTAAGCCAGTATACAGTTTTGTGACAGAAATAATGATATTACACAACTGAACAAACTGTAAGGTAGGCAAATCAGTATTCGAATGTTGTTACGGTTCTAACCACCAAAGTGACATCATTTGAGAATTTGTCTCTAAAGTCTTATTTAATAAGGTAAATCGGGTCACTTCCAACCAATTATTTGAAATAGCCATTATGCATAAACAGAATATTGTGACAATGGTATCATATCTAACGATCACCCAACCTAGAAGTGGCATCAGTCTATGAAGTCGTTGACTATTAGATTGAGCCATGTTGGCAGGTGCAAACTACTTTGTTGGAGTTTGCAAAATTGTCATAACCGGTGATTGAGGGCGTTAGATGCTGTGGCTTAGAATCGGCTGCAGTTGCATAGATGGGTTTGCTGATGGTTTTCCCTCTGATCTTGATTCTCAAGATTATCTTGAAGTTTTTATTCTGTAAGTATGTTGTTCTTAAATGATATTGTACATACTTAATATTTTATACTACCGCAGTGAACAAGAACACCAGTGGGGACAATCAAATGTATTTGAGCGCAAAATTACAGAGCATCTCAATAAAATCTGAGAACAATATAGTAAATCGTCAATTTGCAAAATATCAATCCATTGTCTCAGATTTCATTGTTCATGCGTTTTCATACCAATTGCGTTCCGTTCCCGTTCTTTCTTCGTCGACCCTCTACTGAAATACATCCTATATCTGACCACCGTTATATACTACTTGTGTGGATATAAGTAACCCACACCACACTACTACTACTACTACTACTACTACTACTGATACTGTTATTATTCCTGCTAATTTCATTTCATCGTGTTGTGACAATTCGAACCAATGCACATATGTCCAAAGTTCTACGTTGCTTATAACTGACTGTCACTGACGTATTCACCGGATAATAATTACCGATTAAAGGTTAAATTTCAAATATTTTTCGTCGGTCATTTTTAACTAAGGTAAATTTACCTCCAAATGCCCTGTTACGGCTGTGGGTGGGAAGAGCCTGCTCTCCTCGAAATGTTCTCACATGGCCACGTGTATACAGCCAATGCGACGGAAGTCCTACTCACCGTCTTCTCGACGGGAGTGTTGTGTATGAAATTAAGAGGAAGAAAAGCGAATGTTCGGCGCTTTAACCGGGTTAGTGGGTACAGAGTACCCACCTGGGAGAGTTAGAAAACTCTGATTCCAAACCAATGGTGCACTTGGGCTTTAGGATCCCGAAGGAATAAATGACGTATGAACAAATTATGGATCACTGGCGTCCATGGGACTGCTCCACTGCCTTGTGGTTTAGACCTCTAGGCCAAAGGCTCGGGGAGTGGCGCCCTATTTCGGTTTTGGCCCCTACACTGTATCCCAGCTCTCACACATTGAATGAAGTGTGGCGCGTATGTGTTTGGTGTACCGATGTTTATGTTTTTAAATAAATAAAAAACTAAGGTAAGTTGTTATTTCATTCGTTACATATATTACGTGATTTCGGTGGTAGAAAACCCCAAAACCAAGTTTAGAACTTACATTACTTGGTTATTGGTTGATGACCAGTACCTTATCTAGATAAATTTAGTTGACTTGTCAAATTCTTTGTCCTTTATGATTAAGATCCTTTATTATATTCTACTTTTTCTATAACGAAATACAATTCAAGTCTTGGAGTCTACTCTGTCCATTGGATAGTGACGGTGATGGATTTACTAATGGTCAAGAATTAGGTGATCCTAAATGCCAATGGAAAATAGGTGATCTACCTGAAAGAATATTCAATATTACTCATCCAGGTGTATGTACTCCTGTGGATTCAGAGGTTTGTAAGAGACAGACTATATGTAAAGTAAGTTCATCTTTTAGTTCATAAATGTCATGATGTTTTTTAACAACTATTTATATGATTATAATTATATTCTTCACCATAGTTCACTATTTTCTTAATCTGTATTGTATGCTAAACGTTTTTTATTCTGCTTAAAAATTATGTGTACTGACAAAATGAGACGACCCTTTTATGGCCCAAGGTGAATAAATATATTGAACATATTTCTTTTCTACACACTGCTCAGGTTTCTTTGGGTTGGTGTCAGTTACTTCCACTATATCAATCAAGCACAGTTTTGTAGCTTCTGTTTACTTACTCGGGATTAAGAAATTATATTCAATCTTCATATTGTTATCCTTTGTCAATTTTAGAGAAAAGAATTGCATTATTTATGGACTTAGTGACTCCTTTTCATAACCATGCATGTACATCTTCATAAGCATTCAAGGATCAAGGCATTTGAGTTACAACCTTTGTAATTAACTCCACATAAGCAATTAAATTGATGAACAAGATATAAACTTCTACAGTCGAACAGAAAACTCCAAACCTAAGTCTTGATTCTAAAAATTGTAGAGAATAAAATAGTTACACGTAAACTCAACATATCTATTGAAATAAGTTTTAATGCAACTAAATTGCATTTAACTTCGTCAGCGAAACCTGTACTGACGAAGCGAACCGAGGACGGGGTACGAATGATGGTTTCATCCACGTATGTTTATCAGTTTAACCACTTCCGTGAGGTTAATTACATAGCCTATACTTAAAAGACCTGATCGTTGAGTGCTCGAAAAGAAAACCTACCTAATACATGATTTCCAAGGTGATATAATGAATGACATTTTAACACGTTGACTCAATAGATCCATTAAAACGATTGGAAATGACATGCGCTATTTCATATTTCACACATGTGAATAATGAATTCAAGGTAAATTCGAAATTTCGTTATTTTAGACAATTAGGCCGAATTTTACACTTTCTGTTAATAAGATTCTAATATTCAAATTAGCATTATTTCATGTTTACCAACATATGGTGACTCCGACAGATAGTTTACATCTACTAACACGAGTCATTTCAACAGTTAATAACTTAGTGAACTGATATCACTATTTATATTGTCTATACATAGCTTTCTTTCAACTTTTCCAAGTTCACGTATGTGTAGCGTTGTTCAAACTGACTACTTATTAAGAATGATATTTTTCAATCACTAATTTATCGCTCCTATTAAAAACCAACACTGGAAGTCAATAGGACATACATTACGGAAATCACCAAACTGCATTATGAGGCAAGCGCTTACCTGGAATCCTGAAAGGAAACAGAAAAGAGGAAGATCGAAGAACCCATTATATCGGGAATTGGAAGGAGATATCAAAAGGATGAATATCAACTAGGAATGATTAGATGAAGAATACTGGTGGACGACCTATGCTACTACTCCACGAGGAGTAACAAACATAAGTAAAGTAATTGAAAACCATAATGTTTCATCTTTATTTAAGACTCGTTTTTAGAATTCATAATTATAAGAATATATAAAAGCAATCATCTATCATTATTATTGTGTTTACATTCTCAGTATTATATCTATAAATTATATATTATCGATCATATTTAATTTATTCTTCTAGACTATTATTCAAACACATTGTGGTTTTACTCAATTTTCAACTGGTATACTAACTTTTATAACAATATTAATAGTATTATTAACAATATTCAAGTTTATTAGTAATACCGAATTAAAATATCGTTATGAACATGATACATGGCCTACAACCTGTTGTCCATCATTACCATATGATAAACCTGGATTTTCTTGGGATAATTAATTTTTTTTTATTTATTTCATTTTACAAGATAAAGAAAAAGAAGGTTCGTTAGTTTTTAACGAAATTTTATTTTGATAAAAAGGCACATTGTGTATATGTGTGTATGTGTTTATATAGTTTATATTATTATTATTATTATTATTTTATAGTTTCATTACAATCATTTATTTTGTACCAATACACTGTGATATTTTCTTTATAGGTCTCTTTTTTGTGTGTGTTAGTATTAATTACTGAGCGAATTGTGTAGATTTTTAATGATTATTATTTTTGTTGAATAAATTTTTTTGTATTATTCCTTTCGCTTTCCCAAGTAGTGTATACAATATTTCTTTCTGGGCAAAAATAATATAAATCTTTGTTTTTTGGTTTTGCTGCTGTTGTTGTTGTTGGTACTCTTCAGTTATGATGATAAGGGGTATTTGTAGCTCAGGGTGAGGGGTGTCTAAGGCATTATGTTCTCTGAGCTGGATGGTTTAGTTGTGGGCAATATTATTGGCACGTACTATAATAAGAAGCAGACTTGAACACTGTTCATTTATTTACTATTGAGCAATTGGGTATCACTATTAAATCCTCATGTTTAGGGGGCAACTCAAAACTAAGTACACAAGTCAGTATTTTGGCAAATGAGTTTTCTTTGTAAACTGTAAACTTATTCGATAAGTTTTTTTGCAGATTTTCAATAAGTCAGTCGTGTGTGTTTACATAGCATGATGTGATAAAGTTTATTGCCTTGATCATTCTACTGTGTAAATCCTACGGTAACAGCTACACACTGTGTTCAGCTTAACATCATGATACTATTGTTTTTATTGGCTGAGAGTTGATTGCCTGGTTATTTAATGTCTAACTTTAACCTGTTGAACCAAAAAATTGAATTTTTTTCATTTTGCTGTTAAGTTTTGTCTAGTGAATGAATTATAGAGTTGGTATAGCTACTCTCCATGATGTATATTATTTCAGTGATCAAAAAGGTGGATTATAATGATCTCAACTTACTTGAGTATCACTGTAGATAATATCCACATGGAACTACTTATCTATTTAGAGAATCATAAAATCGACCAGAAGTTGATCCCGGGCACTTGTAACCAAATTATAATTCTGGACTTGTATACATGATCTCACTTATCTCTTGATTTCATTCTTGTTTTATTAGAAGTTTTAGTATTGGCTCAATGCTCACCATAGAACCTATTTTATGTTTTAATTTTTCAACAATCTTTAATAATCACTAACCTATAAGCACTGAATGTCTACTTTCAAAATTGAGTACACATATCTGCCTTTAATCATTAATTGACATTAATTAATGATATATGGTAGACAATATGCTCTTGTATGATGATATCGGCATGTAACGAGCATTAAAACTAGTCAAGAAATATTCCATAAACATTTCGTTGATAGTTGACGTGATATAATACACCTACAATCATCTCAAGTATGTTAAGGTAAAACGGAGGGCATATGTTAGCTTGATATTTTTGCATACGTTCAAATAAAGTATATATATATATATATCATAATTTTTAGATAGATGTTAAACAGTATGCTAAGCTTTGTGTTATGTAAAACATAACCTCTGTATAATTTTATAAATGATATGAGGGTATTGACAATTTTAATAACATACTAACCCCGATATCAATAAAACAAATGCTTGTTCAGTAAAATTAGTATATAAAAATGAAGATAATATGAATGGTGAGTGTTCAGTTATTATCTGATTTTTCATATTTATTGTAGTGCACCATTATGTTGAGTCACCTTAAACTAGTGTAATAATGATGCCCACTTCCTTAATAGAATTTGTTTACTATTAAAGGGTAGATAAACTTTGTTTCAGTTACTATTTAGTGGTTAAATAAATATAGATCGACATGTTTCAGATCTAGATAACAATAGTATGATATTGAAATAAACTTTCTTCTAGTTAACAAAAATATTTTCAGCCTGTTTAATAGCGTATTCTTAATTTATAGATACTTGGAAGTTAGTTTTATGGAAGCTGAAAAAGAAAACCTTGATAACTGGTTGTGGTTCGCATGCATAGTTCACTTGTACTAATAGAAATATACTTATTTATCTTCCACGGTTGTGTATAAATTGTGACGATGTACCTGAAAGTTTATGTAAAATATGGGAGATAATCAGAATGCATTCATTGAACCATTACACATAATTTTGAAATGTTACTAATACCTAACTTAACTATCAGATCAAAGTATTTTGTTAATCATAAAGACAACTAATACCTGATGAGGCTATGCATCAGTCTATGTTGAAATATTTCAAATTGATACAATGACTGTATATTACATCACTGATTTGCCCTAGGTAACTATTGAGAGGCAGGAAGAATAGGATACTTGTTTCTTCCTTGCACAAAACTCTTCATTTGTACTCATAAACAACTTTATCTGTGACTGGTAGGATTAAACCATGTTGGGAATGTAACAAATGGAAATGTTTAATAGTCGTGAAACATTTGGAGTTGATTTAAATTGAAAATGCGTAACACTGGATCCTAGTTCATTGGTCTGAAGGTTAAGCGCTCTCCTCTTGGACTTCAGACGAAGTCGTGGATTACATTGCTGAGGATTTCCATACAAGGACGAAATGGCTGTCCACCACTTCTTTTTTTACAATGATCATCTAATTAAGGTCAATCCATGATGTAAAATTATGAAATACAACAGTCTCTACAGTTTTCTATGCATACAGAATTTGCTTTTGATGTAAAGGGAGAAATAAAAAAGCAACGATGAATGATAGAAGCTATTTTTCGGGACACTTTCACTTAATTCAAATCTGTTATTACTAACATTTACTTTTGTTCTTGGTTTATTCTATGAATCATAAACTTTCGTTTAATGTGTAAATCACTCACACTTTTTTATCCCAAGATTTCTGTAATTCAAAAGTAACCTTTGTACCCCATATTTTGTTCTCTAATGCCCTAGTTTGGGCATAAATATATTTTCCTGATTCTTTGTTCGTTTAAGTTTTGTTAGCCATATATTTGTTCATGAGCCTTTTGGAGGTAATCTGAATCACAAAGAAACCAATTTCCCGTTAATTCGTTTTCACTTCCCAACCTATGAGGTCATTGGTCAATGTAGATTATTTTTTTTCATTCTCTCTGCCCTCAAGGCCGTCTAGTCACAGACATACTCAGACACTTGCTAGCCTCATGGTTGGAATATGCAGCCTATCGCACAAGGCGCTAAACTAGGTCAACACGATTCTCTCCTGTGTATTAATGGGTAGATAGATCAAGGACGTAATAACTTTGGCAACAAAAAATGTGATTAAAAGACGAGAAGTATAAAATAATGCTTGATTTATTATCCAAAGGAAGATAAAAGCTGTATACGACTAATGAGTTTCCACTGTTTTCAGACCATATCACATTAATCAAAGCAGTTCTTTACGTCTACGTCTTAAGTGTTGTATGCAATATTTCACAAGGTGCTTTTCATAGTGTGAAAGCTTTTGTAAACATGGACCAATATACCAATGCAAATAAGAAGTTAGTGAGTAAACTACTAAGTGAGAAGTTTATGGAATTAAAGTGTTGGAAATGAATTTAGAAAATTAATCCAACTGATATTGGTACAGTCTTAAATAAATGAAATCTGGAAAATAAGTGCGTAAACAATTCAATTGCTTGTTGTAACAAATAATATCGATCAGTTATTGTGTGTTCTGTAGTCTGACGAATATATGGATCGGTTCAAGTTGCCACGCAACATTAACACAACAAGATAAAATTACCAAGACAAATTTCGGAGTACCAGAAGTATTAGCAGTATCATTAGTAACAAAAAAGATTAGGTACGGGAAAAGCAGCACATAGTATGGAATGATGCAAATCTTGTCACAGGTAATCAATGGTGCACATGACTTTAAATTAAAAAAAGCATTTAGAGTAACCATCGTGGAAAATAAAATAATAGTAAATATTAGTGTTCTTTATACATTACAGTTTTTGGTGACAAATATTTAGTTGAATTGTAAAACCTGTTAAACTCCAAAGTTTACGTGTTTAGCTATTTTTCATTGTCTTGATCTTCTTATCATTTTTTGTGTATTACTTTATACTACTTGTTAACAGTGAGTAAACGGTTCAATTTCTAGCAATTTATGGATGTAGGTGGCATTTATTTTTCATGTAATATTGTGAAATGTTTACATAAACTAATAGCATTCACTTCATTTGTTGTTTTAATAACACTATCTCAACCCTTGTAACAGTCATTTCCAGTTGTTTTACATTCCTTGAACTTATTGGAAGATCCAGAATATTCCTGGAATAAAGCTCAAAAGGGTCCAGAAACCGCGGGAAACATTTTATCCAGTCAATATTGAATAGAAGTTTCTCAGAGGCATATAGAAAGTGATGAGTCGTGTCACATTTGTGATTGGACGCTTACTATGTTAGGTAAGGTCCCAGAAGCTCAAGGCTATCTGAAATGGTATAAATACCCTCGATTTTCTGTGCATAAACTAACCTTGAAGTAAAGCGTTCTTTCCATATTTACTACCTTTCTCTAGTGTTCAGGTTGTCGTGTAGATTTAGCCTGAGGTTATTAGAAGAGCTTATCAGAAGTCTTATCAGGATTCTTTCTTAAAAGCGACAGCTTTCATTATTTTTGTACTAGTATTTGTTCCCGTTTGATTATTGGTAGTCATTTTTGCGTTTAGGCAGAGGCGGTGACTGTCGCTTAATATTTATATAATTATTACGAGAAACGTTTTCCTTTCCATACATAGAGACACGTAATTTACCACACATACCTCATAAGCAGAGGTTGTAACTAGTGTACATATACTTGTTATTGTTTGCTTGAATCTTTCAATTAATGTTTAGGTCTGTAATTTATCAGTCTCTTATTAGCATATATGCTTACTGTGCGTATTGCCTCGATATTGCTTTAAGTCACAAGCATTATAAACAAAGATGGATAGCGGCTAGCAGTGGAATCCAAGACGCGCGTTTCGTCCTATTTGGGACTCAGCTGAATGTACTTGCATCCCATAGTTGATGTTCACTCTAAGATATATATTTTATAATAATAGGATCGTTCTTTGGATAAATCTTTGTTTTAAATCTTTATTTATGGTGGTCATTCTTAGAGTACGAATAATATTCAATCTGTCAACCGAAGAAGCTTTAGTCAATCAGATATCATAAAAACTTTCCACTTCCTAAGAATTTCTGTCAAGTCTTTATACCAGTCTGTTGAAAAAAATAATAATTCAGACTGACACATTTAATATACTTATCTAAATTGACATATTCAAATTAGTTTGTCAACTTCAAAATTGTATATCTATCTACCTAATGTTAGACTAACGT